GTGGGCTTCTCCATGCCCTGGGTCAAGATGCCGATAAGTGGGAATAGATGCTTTCTCTTCCACACTCTGATATAAATGTCATGGGTAACAACTGTGAGATTCCAGATCGTTTTTATTGATGTAGGTTTTTCTTTTTTCTTTTTTTTTTCCCCCTCTAAAACTTGCCAATCTATTCTTCATTAGACTGTGAGCTCATCAAGAGCAAGGGCACGTTTCTCTCCACTCTGTAAAATCTCCATCCATAACGCTTAGTACAGAATAGTATTTTTGGTATACTGAGTGGCTACCAAAGGATGGTGGTTATATGTACTTAATATTGGTCATGTGTTTATCCAACAGAGAAAATGTAAAGTTAGGTTGATTTAAAAGTAAATGAATTATGGAAAACAGGTTTTGGGGGATCCTCCCTCTTGTCCGTCTCCAAAGAGGAGCCTTCTGCAGTACCCTGGTACATTTTGGCACATTGAAATCGCACGTGCTAAAGAGTTCTAATGCTCATTGTTATTCTTTAGGGTGCCAAGGACTCACCCGTACGTCGGGCTGTGAAAGACACCCTTTCCAACCCACAGTCCCCACAGCCATCACCTTACAACTCCCCCAAACCACAACACAAAGTCACACAGAGCTTCTTGCCACCCGGCTGGGAAATGAGGATAGCGCCAAATGGCCGGCCCTTCTTCATTGATCATAACACAAAGACTACAACCTGGGTAAGGCTGCTCCTTTTATTTGGCTCCGTTTTCATCATCAAGCCTGGCATTACTTTATTTTGTTACTCCATGTTTGTAGTTCTTGCAGAGGAATTGGATTGACTGTAAAGGGTGTCTCTAGAGGGTCTCCTTAGCCTGCACCTGGCCCCTGCACGGATGGGCAGGTGGGAGTGGGGGGGGCACAGGCTGGTACCTGTCTTTGCTATTGGTGCTGGGACCGCCTTTTCTCCTGGGAAGCTCTGGTTTAGACAGTCGGCCAAACTGGGCGGAAAGGCACTGCTCTGTGCTGTTAAGATTTTGTTTTCATTTCATCGCATCTCACAAAGTGATCTCATTAGGAGTTAGAATCATTTTCAAATAATTTTTTCTTTTGTCATTTTCTTTTTGCACTTTTGTTGACATTACCCACCTTCTTTTGATTTGTCACTTTAGTTTTTACTGTTCACATCAGCTCAGTATTCACACGTCTGTGCTACATTTTCATGCCTTTAATCATGGGGTAGGGGACGTACTGAGTGACTTTGGTTGTAAATCTGATAGCTCCTTTTTATGATCATTTTGTCAGAATTGATTTTTCTTACCATGCACCTCTTTCATGTGCTCCTGAATTGTACGCAAGAAAGTGTCTGTACATTGTATTATCTTGAGCAAAATGACATTAATCAAAGGTGAATAAGCATATCTTTGTATTTCCCCATCAGTTCTTTATTTCTTTAGCTCAATCAGCAGGTGGCTTTTTCAGTGTAGTATATAGTTCTTTTAAAAGTCAGTTGGTATTTTCCGCTATATAATCTCTATACTTGTAATGAAACTGAAATTACTTCCCTTATTTCTGGCTATTTTTGATGCTGCAGATGGTTTTTCTTCCTGTCTGTTATATTCCCATCTAATTGTTTGGCTAGAGTTAACTCAGAGTTTAACTTGGTCCTATTATCTGTGCTGTTTGCTCAGAACCACTGTTATGGGAATGCTGGTTGAGTTTTGGTGATTGTCACTGTCCCTAGCTCTTTGGTCTTGGATCAACAGTGGACATACACCCTAAATTCCCATTTCTAGTGATGGACATTAAGTGTGTCCGTTTGCTAGATCAGGAACAAGCCCTGACCAAGGGGATTTGGGCTGTCATTTTATGCCTTGCCCATTGTGTGGTATCAGTTCAGTCCAGCAGGTCTAGAGGATGTGCTCCTAGAATCCTTTGGATTATGGGACATTGTGTCTTCAAGGGCGTTCTTGGCATTTGGGGCAGGGACATTTGTGCCTTCAGTTTCAGGCCACTTAACCTTGGCTCCTGCCACCAGGTGCTAATGGTCACCATTACCCCCACCCCAACATAGTGATGACCAAAAATGCCCTACACATTTCAAAACAGCCCTAAGTGCGAACCACTCGATGAGCTCTTTCCATTTTAAAGTAATAGAGTGGCCTGCCAAGATAATTTCTCATTTAGATCTGGTAACATTCATTTGGTAAACTGATAACTGCCTCTAAGGCATATAGTAACATGTAGGTTCGTTTGACTTTCCTACTGGTCCGAAAATAATGTTACAGATTTGCAGGCAAGACAAGAGGAAGAGACTGGCAGCTCTTTGGAAAATACAGCCATGGAGATTGGTTTTTAATATTTTCTCTTATTACCATGGAACCCCTGGCTGCCCTGCCAGTGTTCTCATTTACTATAGCACTGCTGTAATTTCAAGTCCTTAGCCAGAAATGGGCTCCAGAAATACGGGCTAATGAATATAAAAGTAGATGGATTAGTGTAAGGAGCCACTGTGGCTTGCCAACATAAGCTATGATTTTAGTAATTTCAACTAGCTTAGTAATCGAATCCCCTACCCTTTCACAGCCTTTCAACAGCAGTGTAATTGCTGTTGGGCAGATCGTATTTTAAATTAAACAGCACTCACTTTATTTATTGCCTGCATTGTTGCTGAATGAAACCCATTTTTAATTTCCAGTTGTCCCTTTTTACCCAGATAGTTGTTATTGACTAATTTACTGATTTAAAATTATAATCTGTTAGAACAACATTTTATTGCTGCTGCCAGTATGGAAAGTCCTCAAGGTAACAACTGGCAATTCCACAAGTTACTCCTTCTTAGGCGAACTCAGATGTGCTGGCACAGCTGCATGATCACGTCTAAACAAAGGCCTAGGCAGGATTCTCCCTGCGGAAGACACACCCTAAATTGACTGTTCATTTTGACAAAAGATGGAGGGACGGAGGGAAGCGTGAAGATAATTTGCAGCTTAAAAATCTGTTTTGAGCTGGTTTAGGGGTTTGCTTTGTTTTTTTATTTTTGAAAGAGGAAGTGAACAAATGAGAGAACAGCATAGCTATTCTTAGATTTGAATATTAGAATAGAAAAAGGAAAAACCCTGATAGGACAGGTTGAGAATGATGAAAATAGCACTCCTTCCTCCATCAGCCTGGGCACTGTTGATTCTTACACCAACCAGAAGCCTGAAAAGGACATTTCCCCTCTGTACATTGGGAAATTTAAAAATTGTATTGAAATATGTCATAAAACATGACCTTACACACACAGATATTGAAGGCAGTCTATCAGTCTATTTGGTTAAAGTTTGACTTCATTCTTCTTTTATTATTATTTTTGAGACGGATTCTCACTCTTGTCCAGGCTGGAGTACAACAGCACAATCTCGGCTCACTGCAACCTCTATCTCCCAGGTTCAAGCGGTTCTCTTGCCTCAACCTCCTGAGCAGCTGGGATTACAAGTACACGCCACCACACCCAGCTAATTTTTGTGCATTTTTTAGTAGAGATGGGGTTTCACCATGTTGGCCAGGCTGGTCTCAAACTCCTGACCTCAAGTGGTCCTCCTTCCTTCCTTGGCCTCCCAAAGTGCTGGGATTATAGGCGTGAGCTACTGTGACAGGCCAAGTTTAGCCTCATTCAAACAAAGATTGGCTTTGTTCCCCACCTGGTTCAGGCCTTTCAGGGAGTGCATGTAGGAGGCCAGGGGCTTGGGAGGGATGTGCCGAGGAGGGCATCCAGCTAAGGGAGCAGCTCGGAGCATGTGTATACAGGTTGAGTATCCCTAGTTTAAAGATTCAAAATCCAAAATCCAAAGTCTGAAACTTTGTGAGCACAAGCATGACACTCAGGCAATAAATGCTCATCAGAGCATTTCAGATTCTCAGATTAGGGATGGGGAACCAGTAAGTATAACTGCAAGTATTTTGAAATTCAAAGCCCCTCTGATCCCAAGCATTTTGAGTGAGGGATGCTCAACCCATATTAGTGTATTTATGCCTTTCACAGATGAAGCATGGGCTCATTTTTGTAGCAAGATCACACCCTAGTTAAGTTGCAGGTTCGTTTTCCATCCAAGTTCAAACTAATAAAACTCATTTTACCCTAGGCTTGGGTTGCTGGTCTCTTCTAAGATGGAAAAAATAAAGAAAAAAGACACATCTGGTTTTTTTTTATCCCTGTATTTTATATATTTTGAATTATGAAAGCCTTTTTTGAAAAGATACCGTTCTTTGCATGTTGTTTAAAAACACTTTCAGCCAGGTGCAGTGGCTCACGCCTGTAATCCCAACACTTTGGGAGGCCAAGGAGGGCAGATCACAAGGTCGGGAGATCGAGACCATCTGGCTAACATGGTGAAACCCCATCTCTACTAAAAATACAAAAATTAACCAGGCATAGTGGCACATGCCTGTAGTCTCAGCTATTTAGGAGGCTGAGGCAGGAGAATTGCTTGAACCCAGAAGGGCGGGGGTTGCAGTGAGCCAAGATCACATCACTGCACTCCAGCCTGGGTGACAGAGCGAGACTGTCTCAAAAAACAAAAACAAAACACTTCACTTTCAACTTGATTGAGGGAAGCAATTTTATATTACACGTAAAAGAGTTCCCTTATGACACCGAAGAAAGGAAGAAACAGCCAACATACTTTATGCATTGAATCTTTTATTTTCGTATCCTCAGAGACCTCGTTAGTATTCCAGCTGCTCATCAGCCCTAAAGTTGTCCATAGCTAATAGGGAGCCGTGACTGCCACGTCACGTGCTCTGTCAATTAAGGAGAGATGCCTGCCTCCTCGAGTGGCTCGGTAGGAGTGGGGGTTCAGGGGTGATCACTAGCCTTAGCCCTCAGAGCTTATTCATGGCAGCTGCTTCCATTATTTTTATTATTGTCGATATAATAAAATAACATTATAAACCTCAAGGCCTCTGGCCCTCACAGTCTGTGAAGTCTGGGTTTCCACGCAAGACCACTTAGTAGACCTTTGAAATTGAGTTGGTTTTATACTTCATGCTCTGCCCCTCACTGCCCCCCACCCGACACTTTTCTCTAATTTCAGCTTCTTCCTCCCCCCTTCTACCCCTTTAAATCACCAGCCTTTTACCAGTGGGGCTGATTGTCTTTCACGATAGCCTACATGTGATTCCAAGGCATGGCTGGCCTTGTGTGTGGCCTCCAGAAACCCTGCCCTCTTTCATGTAATAGCAGTCCTAGGCTCTCTGTAAACCTGGCGTGCTCATGGGCTATGTGGAAACGCAAGGATCCCCTGCTGGTTGTGGCATTGCCTGGTCCAGATCAGAGTTAGTATTGAGTGGTAGTTCAGTGCTTTCACTTTTTCCTCTGTCTGTAGTTAACCAGTCACAACTGCTTACCAGATTATCAGCTTCTTGGACCTTCTCAGTCCTAAATCTGCTTAGCATATTTGTTTATATTCTGTGTATGTCAGCGTACTACAGAATGCTGTCATTGTTTTGTGCCTCTGCTTAACCTGTTAAAATATATATTGGGTTCAGGGTCAGTATTCATCACCAACTGCTAACATGATTTCTTTCTTCATTTAAAAATTTGCCTAGCTAACAAGAAGCAAAGGTCGATTTTTGTTGTTCATGGTCTTTTTTGATTCTTGTCAATTCCCAAGATCTACGATTATGATTCAGTGATGCTGTGACTTAGGTGGTTGATTTGGGAAGCAGAAAAATCAGTAATTTGACAGCAGCAACGGCTCTATTATAAAATTGAATGAAGCTTGTGCCAAATGTCTTAACAGTTTACTCTTTTTAACCTTAAGCTTATTTGGTTGACAATGTGTTTTTCTGAGTTTTATCATTTATTTTGTAATCTTTCGAGTGTAAAGATTCTCCTTTTTCTTCTTTTTTTTGGAGGCAGGACTCACTGCATCATCCAGGCTGGAGTGCAATGATGCAGTCACAGCTTGCAGGTCACTGCAGCCTTGACCTCCTGGCTCAGGTGATCCCCCCACCCCCGCTTTTCAGGTAGCTGGGGCAGGCGTGTACCACCACACTCAGCTAATTTTTTGTGTTTTTTGCCAAGAGGATTTTGCCGTGTTGCTCGGGGTGGTCTCAAACTCCTGGGCTCAAGCAGTCCTGCCTTGGCCTCCTGAAATGCTGAGATTACAAGTGTGAGCCACTGCATCTGGCCTTACACTGCATTTTTTTTTTTTTCTTTTTTTTTTGAGATGGAGTCTCACTCTGTTGCCCCAGTCTCGAGTTCAGTGGCATGATCTTGGCTCACTGCAACCTCCATTTTCTGGGTTCAAACAATTCTACCCCAGCCTCTCAGGCAGCTGAGACTACAGGCACACACAACCACACCTGCCTAATTTTTGTGTTTTTAGTAGGAACATAATTTTACCATGTTGGCCAGGCTGGTCTTGAGCTCCTGACCTCAAGTGATTGGCCTACTTCAGCCTCCCAAAGTGCTGGGATCACAGGAGTGAGCCACCACACCTGACCTACACTGCATTTTAACTGGGTCTGCATAAGTGAGAGTCAGCCCCTGGGCTCTGGGTCGTAACCTTTGGGCACCTTTTTGTTCTCTCTGAAACTGCATTTACTCATCTAAAGAAACAGAGACCATGTGCCCAACCTCCTAACAAGGTCTGCTGCAAGATCATACATCTGCCCATGCCTTGGATATCATGAAGCCTGCCCCAAGATGTCAGGCTTTTGTTGATTCTCTGTGGTATCTTATGAAGCCTATGCATTAAGGAAAAATTTTTGTAAACTTTTAAATATTAATTAGCAGAACTTGGTCAAGAATCTCACTAAAGTCATATCGTAGCTTTGTGACTTTGTCTGATGAAGGCGACTCCCCCTGGAGTAGCCACATGACTTCACAGACCAGATTCACAGTATCTGCCAGGTTCAGGAAGGAGTAGAGGGGAACACAAGAGCCCCTTGTGTTCACAACGCACTCCCCTCACCAGGAGCTTGGGACCCTTAGAGAGATTTCGAAGCCGTTGTTCCCACTCCCTCTTCCTGCTACATTCTCTGGCACCCTCCGTTCTGGTTTCCCTAGTAACATCACTGCCGGGACTCTCTTCCTCTTCTCCTTCTCAAGGTCTCAGGGAAATGGTTAACCTTTCATGTAAATATTCTTACTCTCTTGTTTCCACCAATCACAAGAAGGAAGAGCACAGTCTGTGCTGAGAGACGGTCAGCCAGGCTTCCTGTGTGAAGCAGAGATGGGACCCATCTCATGCTCCAGGCATGGACAGTGTGGTTGCTTTGAAACATACACCTCAAGAGGAAAAGTACTGAGTAACGGCACATAGATACTTCCACTTAACATCTACTGCCTTTTACGTTTTTCTTGCAGGAAGATCCGCGTTTGAAATTTCCGGTGCATATGCGGTCAAAGACATCTTTAAATCCCAATGACCTCGGCCCCCTTCCTGTGAGTATGCTGGAGACACATGGAATGGTCTGAAAATGTTTGTTCAATTATCCACTCAATGTTGATGGGGAGGCCCTGTGGGCCTTCTCTTTCTCCAAGATTCGTGGCTCTCATTGGTTCGTGTTTCTTAATAGAATTGGGTGTTTAGCTGAATTGTGATTGTACATTATAGTTCATATGATACCCAATACTTGTAAAAGAGGTTTCTGAATGACTAGCCCCTAGTTGAAGATAGACCTTGTACACAGGATGTTCAAGAGACATTCTCTGCAGGTGACAGTTTAAGTGGCACTCATTTATTTTGTAACTTAGCAACCACTGAGTTCCAGCCATATCGCCGATTAAGTCATCAGAACAAAAGTAATGAAAATAGTATGGGAGGAGAAGGTCTAATTAATCATAGAAAGTTTCTATAAGTCATTTAAGCTGCAGATTTTTTGTTTTTTTCTCCCTTGTTGGTGACAGTTCAGTAGGAGTTGAGCTACATACTTAAAATTGGATTTTGAATGAAACCTTCACATACATCCTCCTTGACGTCTCACTCTCAATTTTAAAAAGCCGTGGGGGATGACAGGGCAGTGGTTGGACTCCAAGGCTATTTTTAAATGGGAGTTTTTGTTGTTGTTTTCCAAGGCTTTTTGTTGCCTAGTATATTAGGGCAACATTTGAGCATTATTCATTAGGTTATACGGGTATGCCACACCAAATCTGTTTGGTTCCTGGGTTCAAATAGAACCAGGGATTGAATTTAGAAAATGAAAGAGCATTTTTTCGGAATCTCTTGGATTCCTGAGGTTTACATAGTAAATAGGGATAGTTCAGATAAGGAGATCATACCAGCTTTGTCGTAAAAAACTTATCCAAATCTATTTAGTTCCTGAGTTTGACAAGCAAAAGTTTGTGGCAGATAGTACCTGTATTAGATCATCAACTACCTAGCTAACACAAATACAGGAACTGTGTCTGACATTTTTCTATTAACCCCCTCTTCCCTTCCTTTAGTACTCAGTGTTTATTTAATTCAGTGAGCTACTCAACTTCAAGCCCCACTGTTCATGGAATGCTGCAGTTAGCCTTCGAAGCTTTTGAGCTAGCAGCCTGTTTCCTGTTCTTCAGACAGCGCATCTGAGACTTGAGCATGTGATAAAGCGTGTTGCTAGACATTGTCAAGAGTTAACTGGAAGTGTTCGTATTTAGTTCATTCTCAATGCAAAAATGGACCCTAGCAGAAAAGAGTACAAAGGTGTCCTGTAGTTTTTAAATTTTGCCTTTGATTTTGGAACTCCTAGCTAATGTTTGCATTTTCTCTCTCCCTTCCTTCCCTGGATACTAGCCTGGCTGGGAAGAAAGAATTCACTTGGATGGCCGAACGTTTTATATTGATCATAGTAAGTAGGCAGTGGTATGGACACACAGGAGTTGCGGGTTCGAGGGAAGGGAGTCATTCAAACGTTATAGTGAAAGCTTTGTCATTTTACTCTTTATCTAGGCAGCCAGGTGTTATGTGGAGAAAATGATACCAGAGAATCAGTGCCTTCATACGGTACTGTGCATTCACCCCAAGTTTGCTTAAAGTAGCCCATCAAGCTTTCACCCAATCTGATCTTGTGACCTATTAACGTTTTCTTTTTTATTTTTAATTTTTAAACCACATTTTGGTTGATCCCTTGACTTTTGCACATTTAATAAATACACTCTGGTAATAGAAAATAAGATTAGAAATGATTATTTAGTCACAAATGTGTGAACAGTGCTTGAAGCAGCATGTAAGTTTTTTAAACACTGCCTTCAAGGGTCCTTTGGCAGGATGCCCGCTCTGACCTTATTTTCTATTCATGGCATGTTTCCTTGCACCCACGACACTAATATACATGTATTTTCTGGAAATCGTAGTATATTTGCTATAGATATTTGCTCCAGCTCCTATGAATAAATGTGTGATTTCTTGTTCCAACTAAAAGTTCAACTAATAAAAGTTCGCTTTTTAGCCAGTGGGATTTTTTCTTTCTCATTCTTTTTGGAGGTGACATGTTCTTCATGGAATCATATTTCCATGTCCCTTAAAGTTTCTGAAAAAGCATATTAAAAAGAAACCTTCAAATAGATGTAGAGTTCAAACCATGTGTGCAATTTGGCAGTATCTTGGTCTTTGCTTTTATTTGGTTCATGAACAGTCTCACCAGGTTTCCCTGGCTTCACAATTTCCTAACTAGACAAAAACACATTGATGAGCCACTTGCTGAGAAGTCTGGCTACAAGTAATCCTCCCACATACAGGACTGGTCACTATCTCATAGGCACAGTACATTTTTCAGATGTAACTTTGCGGCTGAGTACATTGTGAACAGAACTTCACATTCAGGCCCAGGGGGTTGAGGGCTTATTATAAATTGAAGTAAGCAAGAGTACCAGCAGTTTACAATTCAACTGAAAGTAGAAGTCCTAGGTGTATTTAGAGGGGTGGGCTACCGTTTGTTTAAACCAGATATTTCAAGGTGCAGAGACTTCGTTTTTGTCTGTTATCAAAAAATGTGCTGATTTGCCTACTTTCCAGAATTTCATAGTAAGCATAAAGTATTTTTCCTGCCATAAATGCCTTCACATATGTGTATAGCTTACTTTTTCCTTAATATACTATTTATTTATTTATTTTACTCTTAAGAGAATTTACTAAAATGAGAGAGAGATCACACCTCTTTTTCCCATGAAAAACAAAATAATAGTTTCCAGCTTGGTGCATTGGCTCACACCTGTAAATCCTAGCACTTTGGGAGGCCGAAATGGGAGGACCACTTGAGGTCAGGAGTAGAGACCAGACTGGCCAATGTGATGAAACCCTGTCTCTACTAAAAATGCAAGTAAATATTAGCTGGGTGTGGTGGCGCGTACCTGTAATCCCAGCTACTCAGACGGCTGAGGCAGGAGAATCACTTCAACCTGGGAGGTGGTCGTTGCAGTGAGACAAGGTCACACCACTGCATTCCAGCCCAGGTGGCAGAAGAGACTCTGTCTCAAAAAAAAAAAAAAAAAAAGTTTCCTTTATACTGTGCGTCACAATTCCGGTTTTCAGACAGGCATGAATAATACTGATCATTTTACTAAAACAAGGTCTTTACTGGTAGCACTCTTGGTCTGTGACACATAGAGTGCATTGCACACAATATCATGACAGTGTTCTGGCTGGAGATCTGATGCTTAGGTCAACCTACAAAGAATGTCGTGAATGTGTTTTGGCAAGGAGCCAAAAACAGAAAAACATGACTACAAAGCACTATCCTAGCATACATTAAAATAGTAAGAATCACCAACTATTTCACTAGTGGTGTCACAGACCTAGTATAAGATATAGCAGATGCTTGATAAATGGTGACTTGAAATCAGGGTCATGGAGGGTCAGTGGTGGAGCTCTTAGGAAGTTGCTGTCTTTGATCAGAAAGTGGAGTAAACTCACTTGAGGAGCAGCAGACACCTCCCTCCAGCCCCCCACATGCACTAGTCTGAGGCTGGCTCAATTCCAGCTTACTGGAAGGTGGAAGAGAGTGAATACCTGCTAGATGCCTGGGTTCTTCCTTACTCCTGATCAGTTGTGCAGTTACTCCAGCACTCTGCTCAAACATTTCCTCATTTCACTTGCCTGGGACAGCACCCTCAAGGCTCCTTGTATACTCTATACAGAGCCTGATGCAACTAAGCTGTGCCAATATGATATTTGTGGCCATTAACTTGAAGATTAAAATTTCTTTTGCCTTTGCACAACCATATTGAAAGACTCTGTTAAAAAGATATAGCATAAATTAGGTGACCAAAAACCGTTTAAGGAAAGGATTTGTTTACGAGAGCCCCCTTTGCTGTTCATGCTACATTTCTGCCATTTCTCCATAATTCATCAACGTGTACTCAATGGAAAGCTGTAGAGCAGCACACAGCAACGAAACAGTTCAAGTTGTTTGCCTTTCCACAAAATTTAGTCTGTGAGAACGGCAGAATATCTTTTGAAGAGGCTTTATCAGGCTGACGCATATATTCCAAATGGGTTGAATTACTTGGAAGATGACATTTAAGAATGTCCTTCCCATCAGAATAAAGCCTCTTTTTCTAAGCAATTTTCTAACAAAACTCAACATCTGATTTTGCTGTCATAATGCCTGTAGGCCAGCAACCAGCTTATGCCTGCATATGCCACATTGCTGTGAACGCCATAATCTTGTAAATTGCCTAGAGTCATCCTATCTTCCAGCATAGCTGGCACGTGTGGTCCACATGGAATTACAGACGAGACAATGAGATCTACTTGTCTTTGAATAATTATTTCTGCTTCCTATATTTTTCCTGAGAAGTGATAGATTTTCAAGATTAACAATACTCAGCCATCTTAAGGATTTAATTTCAAAACCAATGACTGATCAAAACTAATGTCTTTAGACTCCTTGATTCCTTTGGTTGCTGTCTGTGGAATAGCTCCTGGCTCTCAGAGGTTAAGGGGAGGTCCTGAACTGAATCTCTACATTTTGTAGGAATGATTTCATTCTTCTTAAAGACCAGGTATGCCTAGCAGCTGAGTAATTGGCCACAGGTATCCTATCTACAACATTAGAAGAGAAAATTGAATTCCAGTGACTTCATAAAGTCCTATATTAATCTTTCCTGTCAACAGTCTTACTAGACCTGTTCATCATGGCTAAATTGAGTTTCTCATCCTTCCACTTTCCTCTTATCCTTGGATAACTGGCTACCATACTTTCATACATTGACCATACTTCACTGCAGAATTCTTTATCATCACCATGTGGAAACTTGTGTTGTTCCAAAAGCTTGGGCTGTTTTAAAGGGTCTTTGTTTGCACCATCAGTTTCATTCAGTCATTTTTTAAAATAATGTGTTAAGTTCCTGATACCTGCTGGAACTGGTCTTAAGTGGTAGAGAGGAGGTTGCAAAGATAAATAACACACATTCCGTGTCCTCGAGGAGCTTAGGTCCAGTGCGAAGTACCGGGAGATAGTTCATGTGTTAGAAGAGTGAATCAATTGTTAACAGAAATGAAAGAGGCAAGACCTGCATCTACTTGAGGGGGTGGTTGGGCACAGGGATGGGGTCCTGCAAGAGGCCCTGAGGGAATGGGTTACTTTTCAGATGGATGACAATCACTGAGCGGGACTGAGGCAGGCAACCCCCAGGAAGAGGGGGTTGAGTGATCCTAGGAATCATGGAGAGGTGTGAATATGTGTGGATGCTGCCACATTCAGAGAAACGCAGCATTGCTCCAAACAGCTAGTGTGCCATAGGGTCCAGCATGGCACAGAGGCCAAGCCATAGGGAATCTGCCAGGTGTGGGGACTCGGGCTTAAGCCACAGGCAGTGGGGAGCTCCCAGGGGATTTCCCAGACTGGAGGGATGGGGTCAAAATCGTTCTTTAGAGAGATCCTTTTGGCAGACCTGTAGAGGACATCTTGAACCAGGGGGATTGAGACAATTCCCAGTGAAGTCCAGAGAACAACAGTTCAGGAAAAAAAATAAAAAGCTCTCTAGCAAGAAACTTATCAGGGAGAGAGAGGGATGGTCCAGGACAATCAGAGTGAGTGACGTGGCCAGGTTCCTGGTTGGGACAGTAAGTGGATTGTGATACTGCACATTGGAAGGCAAGGTCACATTACCAGTTTTGGTGTTAGGTGATCATAAGTTTGGTTTTGGTAGAGTTGAGCTGAAGTTCTTATGGGAAACCCAGGTGCAGATGTCCAAGATGGAGCTTGAAGTTCAGGTCTGCTCTGAGGACTTGTGAATCCTCATGAGTCAGCAGTTGTTAATGTATTTTCTGCTTTGATGACAACCTCCACTGTTACGGTTATAATCCAAATTGGTGTTTTAAGGCACAGTTTTTACTCAGCTATATTCCATTTCCTTTATTTGGTTTTCTTTTCTCTTGTTTTCCATCACAATAGCAACTTTTACTTTCCAAAGTCTTCTGTGAAAGGTAAGGGACCCAAAAATGCCTTTTGTGTCCATCAAGATCTTCTCAAATAGTTGAGATTTTTCATGTAAATTTTCTGCCAGCATGAAAACAAAAGATTCTACAATCATCACCTGCTTTGGTAGCTTTTTTTTTTTTTTTTAAGCTTTCCTCTGCTTTTATTAAAATAATAATAAGACTTTTTAAAATTCCTAATATGATCATTAAAACAGAATTCACTAATTATTCTTATCAACCTAACTACAGTGTAGTGTATACAGAAAATAAACAGAATCAATATTCTTCCCCCCCCCCCCCCAGAGACAGGGTCTTGCTCTGCAGATCAGGCTGGAGCATAATAGCACAATTATAGCTCACTGCAGCCTTCCCCGGGCTCAAGCGATCCTCCTGCCTCAGCCTCCTGGTTAGCTAGGACTACAGGTGTACACCACACCTGGCTAGTTTGTTTTGTTGTTGTTGTTTGTTTTTTTGGTTTTTTTACTTTTTGTGTTGCTGGGTCCTCACTATGTTTCCCAGGCTCGTCCCAAACTCCTGGCTTCAAGTGATCCTCCTGCCTTAGCCCCTCAAAGTGTTGGGATTACAGGCATGAGCCACTGCTCCTGGCCACCCTTTTCGAATAATTTTCTTCTTTTTTTTTTTTTTTTTTTTTAAGTAACCTAGGTATCCAAAAACTCCAGTGAACCTACTCTCCCCCAGTCTGCCCTCCCCGTAGCCTTCATGTGAGTCCATTGCACTCTCCCTCCACCCCATCCCAGTACACACAGGAATCTATAAACTCCTTTTAATTATGCACAGTTACAAACCCCAAGTGATCTAGGGTAGCTATTGTGTATTTTCACCTACACAAGTAATGGTATAGGTAGCATTGAACAATCTTGTTCACATTAACGCATTTGGAAGAAAGAAAACCACCTTTTGCCAGTGTGACCAAACAGAAACCATGCTCTTTAATCTTCCTCTGCTGTATCTAATTCTCTTTTTCGGACTGCCTCAGCTGCTTTGATTTTTGTGTGCGTATGAGTGACGCATGTAATAGATTATTCATTTGTTCAATGCAGGATTCTTAATTGAAAGCAGTTTTTCAACACCATAAGTGAAAAGTATTTGAGATGAAAAAAAAAAAAAATCCTGTGTGTGTTTGTTAGCCTTTTGGGAAACTAAGATTTTTTAAATGCCTTTTTTCAATGAAATGAAAATCAAGATCAAGTTATAAATCCTTGAAAGAACAGGGGTTTATAAGTCACGTTTTAGCAAGTTGTTTGCCCAAAACAGTATGAATAGATGGCTTCACTTTAGTTGTGCATTTTTGATTGTTTTTAACTAAACAGTATGTGAGGGGGTTTGCCATATAGCGCGTAGTTACCTTCTAACTCTGAAATACTAATTTGTATTTAGAACACAGGGTGGGGGATTGGATAGCTTTTGAAGAATCCAGAAATACTTCTTTCTAAAACTTTCTTTACTTAGAATAGATTTGAACTAATGTCCTGATTTTTTTTTTTTTTTAAACATTTTCAGACAGCAAAATTACTCAGTGGGAAGACCCGAGACTGCAGAACCCAGCTATCACTGGTCCGGTCAGTATTCTCAAATTCTGCCTCTTCAGTATAAGATTTTTGGTTACATATTTCCTGTGTATTACTGATAACAATGATGTCAAGGGACTGGTGTGATTGAGTAGTTCACTAGAAATTGAGTACTTTGCTCCCATCTCCTCCTTACCAAAGTTTTCGGGTGAGATACGGCTGCATGTGCCTTTTCAGATGGATTTAATTATAAAGGAAAAGAAAATAGCTTAATTATGACAGGAAAATTAAACATTTTTTCTTCTCTGTTATCAAAGGGTGGATTACAAGTATAATCAAAATTTCCTCCCTTCCCTTTTATATGAAGCAAAACCAAGCCCAGTATTCATAGAGTTTTAGCATTTCTTTAGGAGAGGAGTAGTAAACGCATGCAGTAAGTTTAAATCTTTTACAACTTTAAAAATCTGTAGAAGTGAGATTGTAGCTAACTTCAGGTGCTGGTAGAGTTAAGAATTTTAAACTCTGCTGACCCACAACGTTACCATGGTTCCCTCTTACATGCTGGTTAGAAAAAGAATCAGTTCCGATGCAGGTGTGATGACCTCTTAAAAGACTGTAGCACACTGTTCCTAAGGTGATGTGAGAACCGCACTCCCAGGGCATCAGGAGTTACTTGGTATCACACACCTGTGGATGAGTCTGTAGAATGCAGCCACGCTCATCAGCAGAGAGCACACCACCAGCTTTTGTCAGTGGTTATACAAGGGCAAGGAGGTAATTTGAAATTACGGGAGATGTACCATGATCAGCAGAAGGTTGCAAATTTGGGATTCTTAGACTAGAGGAGCAAAAGGAACAGACGTTTGTTATATCACATGCTGAGCTAAGAGCTAAGAAGCCAGTAGGTAGATTTAAAACTCCAATTTCATGGCTTTCATCTGATTCCATTCAAATTATGTTTTGAATTATTAAGATAGGTCCATCTGAAAACTTAAAATTTTGATACTGCCTTGCAAATGTGCCCTGGTAACTGACTACCTTTAGTAATCTGTTGGATTTGTTCAGCCACCTGGGTGCTATTTCCTAGGCAAAGTGCCCAGTAATACCTGGGTAAAAACAGTCAACATTTTTCTCTATGTGACTTAAACACTGCCTTACTCTGATGCTTCCTTTTGATATATATATATTCGCAGTCACGGTTGTTAGAATATTATTTTCTCTTCTACATTATTAGAACAAGGTAAATTCAAGAAACTACTCTTTTCAAGGGACAGAAGACTTTTGACATAACTTTGAAACCTTTTCAAATATTTCTATCACTTATCAGTCACCAGCTGTCACTCCAACACTACTAGTCCTTATTAAATCTTATTGAAAATTGCTTAGCATCGTAAAGCCAAGTAGATTTGCCCCCAAGAAAGAGCTCTCTGTTTTCTGTTAATAAAAGAGCCTTTTTTACTCTTTTGTTATCATTATTATTCATGGTATTGCTTTCAGAAGAATCTGTATTTGGGTAATTATCAACTTAGTGTAGACATTTGGCCTTTGTTGTCATTCAGTTCTAAATATTTGGCAGTTTTCATTTGATTTTTCTCCTTGACTTATAAATTATGTAAAATATGCTTTTTAGTTTCTAGAGTATGGGAGGGTTTTGCCTATTCATTTTTATTTTTAATTTTATTGCATTATGGTCAGAGAATATTGTCTGTAGAATATTTATTATTGGGTATTTATTTAAAACTTCATTGGAAGCTTGATCATTTCTTGTAAATGTTCTTTTTTTGTTTAAAGAGAATGTGTATTGTGTCTTTGGTTGGAAATAGAGTTCTTTATGTGTCCATTAGGTCAAGCCTGTGGTGTTCAAATTATCTGCATTCTCGTTGCTGTTATTCTATTGGATCTAATCAAGATAGTTGTGTCAGTCTCCATGGTGATTGTTGCTCGGTCAGTGTAGTCTAAGATGTATATGACTGCATTCTCTCTCTCTTCATTCGTATTTGCTTAGCATAGCTTTTCTCTCTCGTGGTATTTCGCCTTCTTTCTTGCCTTTTATTTGATTGACAGAGTGCTCTCTTTTATTTTCTCTATGTGCTTGCAGGTTGTACTTTCTATCCTTTTAGCTCTCACATTAAACTTTTTAACCAACTACTTGACTTAGGATTGAAATGAACCACTGTCTGCTCTCCTGGGTAGCATCAGGACCTCAGGGAACTGGAATGCCATTCTTCCCACTCCCACTTGCCACGTCATTGTTGGGTGGAATTTTAAAACTACCTTGTCTTTAAACTTTTCTAACAGTCAAATAGCCATTAATAGGTTATCTTTTTTTCTCCCTACCGTCCATACTGATTTAATTTTACCAAATGTAAAGAAATTTCTTTGCCCACCTCGTTGGTTCGCCCACCATTGGTTCTTCTATCCATTTTTTTTTTTTTTTCTGAGTTAAGTTTTGATCTTAGTGAAGTATAGTACAGTTTATGGTTCTTAGCGTGTGGTCTGCTGAGCAGAGTATCAGTATCGCCTGACAGCTAATTAGAAATGCAAGTTTTCAGATCCTGTCCCAGACCTACTGAATCAGCAGCTCTGGGGTTGGGACACCAGTCTTTGTTTTAAAAGCTCTCCCAGGGATGCCAACACCCACTCAGGTTTGAGCACCTCTTCCCAGCAGCACCAGTGGTGAGAGTCTGCGAGTGGTAATGTCTCTTACTTTTTGACTCAAAAGGTCTCATGTGACCTCTGTTGAATATGGAGTTCAGCTGATGATAGAAATCTTGGTTAAGTTGTTTGCCTTCAGTGCTTTGGAGATACTCCTGCATGTCTTCTGGCCTCCATAAATGATGAGAACAGGTTTGCTCTCAATCTCATTGTCATTTCCGTGTAGGTAAATTGCTCTTTTTCGCTGGTGATTTTGAATTTTTATTTGTGTCTTAGATGTTTTACAGTTTCACTATCATCATGTATCTATGTGTGGAGTTCTCTTCATCTATTCTGCTTTGGACTCAGGCTTCTTCAATATGGGGATTGTGTCTTTCCTCTGTTCTGGAAAATTCTCAGCTATTATTTCTTCACATACTGCATGTTTCCCATTCTCTAAGTGTCTGTTTCTGTAACTCCTATTGGGCATTAGTTCTCTTTCACATTGTCTGCTTTTTCTCTTAACTTTTGTGTTTTCTGTCTCTCTCTCTCTCTCACTGATGTATTGTGAATGATTACTTAGCTCTTCCAGTTAATTCTTTAAGCTTTTTTTGTAATCTCTTTATCAGTTCATCTTGTTTATTATTTCAGTGACTAGGTTTAATTGCTCAAAGTTTTATTTGGTCGTTCAAAATTTGCTTTTGTCTTCATGGTTATTCTGTCCTGTTCTCTTTATCTCTTTATTTTTGATGCTTTCATCTCTTTATTATTTTAAGATATTTATTTCTTAGCCTCTTTCAGATTATTCTCTTATCTCTGGTCCTAGGAACATTAAATTTCCCAGTACGTCTATAGACTCTCCTTAGGAGCGTAGATTATTGCCTAGTTGAGTTTATAATTTGTGTGTGAGTATGTGTGTGTGCGCACGAGCGTGCATGCATGCAAGAGGGGGAGAGAGAGTGTGAGCAAGCTTTTTTTTTTTTTCCTATGAGGCTTTTGTAAGTCCTGACCTGTATTTACTGTTAACTTCTTAGCTTAGGTTCATGCACCCCAGTCAGTATAACTGTGGACCTCATACCCACTTTGGCACAGGCTTGGAGTATGGATTTATTACAGGTCTGTTTCTTTTTGTTTTTCTCCCATTTATGGTCCTGGACAGAAGGTAAGCTTCCTTGCAACTTCCCTGGTCCGGTGGGTAGAGTTTCCTTGTCCCATTTCCAGATGTTAGGTTTTAAACAACAACTGTTCTTTCTACGTCACGTAGACCAAAGGCAAGTTCTGTGTCCCCATGGGAGGATTAAAACCCAAGCCCCTATGTCTAGGTCCAGTGCCCACTGACTTCTCTAATTGTGAGTCTTTCTGCTTATCTGGCACCTAGAGTTTCTCTTCCCAGGTTTTAAAAATATCAGTCCTAAGTAGGCCTAGCATTTCTACATATTTTTTAGGGAAGGGGGACCCTTTCTGTGCAGCTCAGTGTTTAGCATTCCTGTAAGTTAGTATGCTCTCTGTAATAGCATTTTATCACTAGTAATAGCATTTAGTAAGTGCTCTTCATGCATGCCGCTGTAATGAACACTATCTCATGTGGTATAACACATATATTTTTCCAAGAACCTTATAATCAGCTGATGTGAAACTCACAGCCGTCCCCTCAGGAAGGCAGGGCAAATGTTATCTCCAATTTGTCAGAAGCTCAGAAAGCTGATTCTATTGCTGACAGTCCCTGCAAGGGTCACAGTCAGGACTGGAGCCCCAGATGCACTGGTGACACTGATGTCACCACGTCGGGCATGAGCCCTTCTATCCAAGGAGCTCCAGTGTCACCTGGAGAGTGATGATGTGGAAACATTTAGAACCAACTTGCACAGTAAGGCAGGCTTTCATTCTGTATCCAAAACAGGAACACAGATTTAATGCAGAGCAAAAGGGCTTTAATCAACAGGACATGTTCATTGTTCACATGGACTCATTTTACAAGCTAAACTGGAAGCCAGAAAATGACATTCCAGGTTTTCAAGTGAGAACAAATGATTTGATCCAATTAAAAAAAAGAAATGCGCGTGTAATCTGTTCAGAAGCTGTGCTGTTAGGATGTTTGTCCTGGTACGTTGTGTGACACTTTTCAGGAAGAGAATATAAAAACTTGTTCTTCTTGTTCTATCATGAGAACTACCTCTAGAGAGAAAAGATAATGAGTACAGGAGGAAGACAGTGATTTTCCGGCTTCCATGCATCATTCCCCAGAAGGAGAAAGGCCTGAAATATCTCAACATTTCCACCCACGCCTCCTCAGCCCCTGCCAGGAGACAGAGCAGGCAAGGGAATGGGTATCACAGACTGGGGGCCACATGTTGAAATCTGTTCCTTGGGGAATGTGTCATTTAAGACAGTCGAACTTGCATACACAGTGATGACTGTTTAAGCTTTTTTTCCATCATTTTCGGGAGCGGGGGAACTGTGATGTAACCGTGATGTTTGGAGAACCCTCACAAATGCAGGAACAAACAAAAAATAATTGCTGGGAATCACAGACTTTGAGAAATAGAAGAGCCGAGTCAGGTTTGTTCTTCCAGTCACATCGTTCCACTTCACAGTGAAGAAACTCCTTAGTAGAGAGGTTGTATTGCAAAGCCAGCTGATGAGACACTACCTCAGAGCTCAGGCCTTCCAACACTGGCAGGAGAGAACGGAAGGAGGTCACTTTTTTAGTTCCGGTCATTTTTTTCCTCATGGCACTAACACGGTTTATTCATTGATTTCTTATTACCTGTTGCTCTCAACAGCTTGTGAGCTCCAGAAAGGAACTGGGAAAACTCCCTTGCTTTATGTACTGTTATTTTTCTAGCACCCAAAATACTTTGCACAGAGTAAGGTGCTCAAGAAGTATCGGTTGAATGATCAGCAAATGAACACCAGAAAGTGAGAAAGAAACTAGAGAGGAAATCTTAGTTGGTGATGGGAGGTAGCGTTGGTAGAGCAGAAAGGATGATATCTTTATTGGCTTATGTCAGAACATTGTATTCTTTTTCTTATTTTGGTGTTTGTCCAGGTATTAACAAATTTATGCCTTGCCTAGACTCAGGATTGCTCTGTGGTTTCATCAGACTCAATACTGCCTAAAATAAATAGGATATGAGGTCAAACCTGTCGTTCAGTAGAAAATCAAAGAAGACTGGCTTAAAAACTAAGAAAAGACCATAGGCAGTATAAATTGTCAGTATAAATGTTCCTAAGCTATATAAATATGATGTATTTATTGCTCTTGAATGACAGAGCAAAACACTGACATGCTTATTTTCTGAAAGAGTGGTTGTTTTGTTTCAGGTTAGTTTTTTATATAAACTTGTCTTAAAACTATAAAGGAGGGAAGTTCTTCTTCCTTTCTTCTCTTTCTGGTCAGGATAAGTATGGTGAAAGCGTGAGGTTTGGAGTCTGGAGACAGTAGAGTAAGGATCAGTATATTTTATTAACTTAAGCCAAAATGATACCAGCAGAAGTATTCTCTGCCGAAATTCATGCTAGTGGCTAAAACGCAGTGAGTTGTTTTCAAGGTTCTCACAGTTATATCTGTGTATATGCAAAAACCAATCCTTTTTGCTTTGTAAAAATACCGTAAGCTTTTTCAATAGCCGAAAGTCAGGGCTCTGACTCTAAGATATTATGAGACACTTTACAACATAACAAATAAAGATTATTTAAATGACTACATTAAGATGTTACTCCTTTGCCTGAAGAGATATTGCAACTTTTAAATAAGTATAGTTAACTGAATTCCCGAGCCCTCAACTGTGGTACCATCACTCTGTTTCATAGATAAAGCATTTGAGATTTCAAGAAATCCTTGCTCAAGACCACAAAATATGAAGGGACAAACCTTCTCACTCCTAAATGGAGGATTTTTTGAGAATGCCATCTACCTGATTTTATATTTCTTGATAAGAATGTTAGTTCACTTCCCTTTCTGCTCATTGTATTTCCCTACAAAGATTTTTTAAATCATGATTAGACTTCAAAATGCCAGCATAGGTCATTCTGGGTTGTATGTTAAAAGTATCTGGCCAATAACTCTTAGCTAAGCCACAGCAAAAAAGAAAGAGAAACACCCTGACTCATATTCTGACAAAAGTTACTTGGAAAGCATGTCATTTGTGTAGCATACCCCTGAGTAGCAGTGTAGCTGTTTTCAGGGGTGAAAACGCCATTCAAAGCTGATAGCCCTAATCCGTTCTAGGACTTTCCCCGGTGCTGTGTAGACATTATCTAAGTTTTCCATGGATAATCTGAAAAGTGAGAATTTTCAGTTTATGATTCATGAAACTCTCTTAAATGTTGGCTCAGTATACATAAAATTTTAAGTATATTGTTTGCTTTATCTATATTTATAAATTTATCTTCCAGGCTGTTCCGTACTCCAGAGAATTTAAGCAGAAATATGACTACTTCAGGAAGAAATTAAAGAAACCTGTGAGTAATCATGCCTTCCAAAAATGCTTTCTGTTAGTCATGTGTAAGTTACCACAGTTACTTCAGTGAGAACAATTTGTTACTTTTATATGAATACTAAAAATATTACCTTCCTTTCCTCACTCACTTTGATCCTCCTGGTTCTTCAATCTGAATTTTCTTTTTAACAGAAATGGTAAGTGAAGATTAACTCAGTATTACATATCAAATCTTCTGAAGGGTAATTTGATATGTAATGCATAAAAAAACAGGAATGATTTTTATGGGATATAAAATAATTCAGAACCCTAGTCACAAACTCTGGGGAAGCCTGTTCAATTATGCACAGTTATCATATTTAATAAACCTGGATCCCACTTAGAAAAAATGTTCAAATCTTTCCTTGTAAATGCAGAAGCTTAGTTTCACCTACAATATTTATAATATAAAGTTATATTTAATTATAATAATTTACAGTATTAGGTCAAAATGTAATTTTCTGCTTATAATTATCCCTGGCAGTTTAAAACAGAGAAACTCTAAAAATTTTTATAGGCAGTGTTTTAAATTACGTTACATTTTCTAATGACACACCACCCCCAAATTGTTCAGTGTTGTGTCCTCTGTTTTACTTTCCAATTCCACTTTAGCAGTTTTCTCTTCGGTTTTCTCCATCACTGTGGTTATACCTCTGGGGAGCAGAGGGAACCTGCCGCAGCCCATACCATCTCCGGTGGCCTGGGCTCTGTCCCCATTTCTCCCTGTCTCCTCCCCTCAGCCGGTGCCTCCTGCCCGGGACACCTTCTCTGGATAGGGCACAGTCTCTGCTCTCACTTAGGGGTTTTGGTCTCTGTTCCAAAGTCCTGATTCAAGCATTTGTGGATAACTACTATTGAAATGATTCTTTGCCTTCAAAACTCAAATGAATACTGAAAATTCCATAGTGTTTCTTTGTGACTCACCTCCCCTGGTAATGATGATGACTTGTTGGTCATCACCCAGTCTCACTCTGTGGCTCTCACATAGCAGTGTCTTCTACTTGGAAACCATCTCTGCAGATTTAGACTTACAATCAGATCAACCCTGGACCACCTCTCCGCAGAAGGCAGTTGCCACAACCTTGGTCAAGTGTTTTGTTATTTTCTTACTTTCATTTTTTTTGGGGGCGGGGAGACAGAGTCTCGCTTTGTCACTGGGCTGGAATTCAGTAACGCGATCTTGGCTCACTGCAACCTCTAACTCCTGGGTTCAAGCGGTTCTCCTGCCTCAGCTTCCCAAGTAGCTGGGACTATAGGCATGCACCACCACGTCCAGCTAATTTTTGTATTTTTAGTAGAGATGGGGTTTCGCCATGTTGACCAGGATGGTCTCGATCTCTTGACCTCTTGATCTGCCCGCCTCAGCCTCCTAAAGTGCTGGGAGCCACCACACCTGACCTGTTTTGTTATTTTCATGTCAGTGAACCATGCTTTGGGCTGCTTTCCCCACACTTGGCATGATCAGGGTGCCACTTTCCATGGCAACAAAATGGACTTCAGGCACCAATGGATTATATTTACCAACTGGAGGCCCTGCCAGAGTTGAGCATGGCCCCAACCTGGCCAGGTGGGATTATTATAGGTTTGATTACCTGGGCTAAAGTCTCTTGGGTGAAACAACAGATGGAGTTCATTGTCTTTCAGTTGCCATTGACTGGAGAGTACCCAGAGTTGTTTATTAAAGGGGGCGAGGAGGATTTTCTTCTGGGCAGCAGAGTTTCTGACTCAGCCTGCGCACTGCTAGTGGATGCTGCGTGTCCCATTGTGACACAGCCAGGCTTTCTGTCTGCGAGGAAAAACCTCTAAAGGAGAGAATCTCAGTTGAACCCATTTGTCACTGCCCATTTCCTTAAGGACTGCCATCTTTTCTACGCTTTGTCGTTTTTATTAGAAAGCAAAGTGTGTATTTGCTGTATGATTATGTGCTTTCTTTTGTCTTTTGTGTAGGCTGATATTCCCAATAGGTTTGAAATGAAACTTCATAGAAACAACATATTTGAAGAGTCCTATCGCAGAATTATGTCTGTGAAAAGACCAGATGTCCTCAAAGCTAGACTATGGATTGAGTTTGAATCAGAGAAAGGTCTTGACTATGGGGGTGTGGCTAGAGAATGGTTCTTCTTACTGTCCAAAGAGATGTTCAACCCCTACTACGGCCTCTTTGAGTACTCTGCAACGTAAGTATATGGCCATGTACACCCAGAGTGTGTCCCCCACTGAGACAGTTGTATGAATTTAAATGGAATGAAGGAATAAGCAGTTCACATGCTTTAACTGCTGCATTTATTCTCTCCTCACCCTATGGCCCCTTGCAAGTCTAGAACAGGTTCTGACTCTACCTGGTGAAATAATGTACTCTGTGAACATCTAATATTGATTTTTGTCTTGTCTGTTGGGTTCATGGAGTTGAAAACAGGTTCTGACTCTACCTGGTGAAATAATGTACTCTGTGAACATCTAATATTGATTTTTGTCTTGTCTGTTGGGTTCATGGAGTTGAAAACAGGTTCTGACTCTACCTGGTGAAATAATGTACTCTGTGAACATCTAATATTGATTTTTGTCTTGTCTGTTGGGTTCATGGAGTTGAAAACATGGATAATTATGGTAAGAAACAGGAGGCAATTCTCATTTGCAGTGTTCAAGAGAACTTGTCAGCATTAGAATCAAAGAAAAAGGGAGGTATTTCTTTAACAGGAGTGGTTTCCGAGGTCTCTGCATAAAGGCAAATTGTAAGGACTTTGAGGATCTAGAACCATGTCCTGCTCCTGTAAGGAAAGAACCAGTTTTCCCCTTGAGTTAGGATTTCAGCATTGCCAGGCTTGGAAAATGAAGCAGATTAAATTGCTTTCTGAGCAATCAAATGTCGGCTACTTCTAGGTCAGCCATTCCTCCTCCAGACTCTGAATCCTCCAAGGCTTAGGCTGAACCCAGGCCCCCGGTACAATAGTCACTGACCTTGCTGAAGGGCATTTATCATCACTCCAGCCCTGGGCTCTAAGGGGACGTGGGTTTCCCCTCATCTCCCACCTGGTACCGATCTCCTGGGGCCTCATTTGGAAGGCAGCCTTAGTACATCCTTTTCGGTTGCTCTAGCCAAGAATTGCCCAATTGGTTTGTTGTTAATTGTTACTGAGTCCTGTGAGAGGGCTCACTATGTATAACTTATCCAACTATTGAAGACAGAGGGCAGGGTAGGGAGAGACAAGATCTCTACCTCTCCTCCGCATTTTCAGGGTTACCCCCCGAAGGAATCTATCTGTGATCCCAGTTTGAAATCCACTGATCCTCATGGTTGTGAACCAAGTAAGATCATTTGGACAAATTTAAACATTTGCAGGTTTGCATTGTTGAGAGAGCCATATCCTGTTTCCAGTCCCCTTGAGGCCTTTTCAGAGTAGAGTAGTGATCAGAAGACAGACCAAGGGTTGGGTCCATAGCAAAAATCTTATGCCCAAGCCAAAAGCCTCTGGAAGGAATTAACCTTCTTTTATCACAGAGACGAGCTAAAGTACTCACATCATTGGGAATCCCTGCACAGCCTCTTTATTGTGTGGAGTTTCTTATCTCCCCAAGATATTTGGCTGAACCATATGAAATAGACACTTTTGTAGGTCAAAAACAGTCAGACATCAGCCGTGTCATATGATTTCATTGACTTTATAGTGCACATGCATCAGCCTCCAAGGTGGGTCATGGTTGAGCGTGTGGTAAGTCATGTCCTCTAGCCTGCACCTTTTCACGCTAGGCACAGAATGCTCTCAAGGACACTGTAAAAGTTGAGTGACACGTGGCAAAGAAATACGTAAAATCTTGCATTTGAAAGTGTGATTGGCCTTTTCCTCTCTTTCTCATCAAAAGGGACAATTACACCCTTCAGATCAATCCTAATTCCGGCCTTTGTAATGAAGATCATTTGTCCTACTTCACGTTCATTGGAAGAGTTGCTGGCCTGGCAGTATTTCATGGGAAACTCTTAGATGGTAAGTCTTGAAGTAATAAAAATAGCTCAGTGCTGCCGGTGGTTCCCTGGGAGGTGTCTTATGTTTCGCAACATGAGTTTTTAAGCAAAAGTTTCACTGGTTTACTCATAAAGTATTTTTGTCTTTTGCCCGTAATGGATGTGCTTTTCTCTGGTATCTTATTTTGGGCACTGAAGACATAGTGTCTACACACAGTTAAACACAAAAGTTTTTTTAACTTCAGTGTAAAGCACAGAACATTATGTATTTATACCTTTGGATGTTTTCTGGAATAACTTTAGTGAAAGCAAGATTTGATAACAGATGGGAAAAAACTAATTGAAAAGTTAATTAAAATGATCTCATCCATCCAATATTCTGTGATTATTGCATTTGTCCCCAAATTATTTTTTTAATTTGAAGGGATTAAATAATTTCAAAATAATGTTACAGCTCAGCTAAGGCGTTAACCCTGAAACAACACAAAATAATTTCATT